TAATAGATCTATAGTTTTAAATATCATAAAGTAAGAGATCTGGAAGTAAAGAGCTTTTTCCATATCTGAATTATGATTATTTTATAGTTTATTTTGCAATTAGTATTATATGCATTTTTTAGAGTTTCTTCGAATTATGGTTTATCGAAGATTCCATTTTATGCATAATTGTTTTGTTCATTATTAGAACAAAAATCATTGTTTTATTTAGAAATGCATATTAAGGGTTTAGATATCACCACGGTGACTTTACCCTATTATAAATTTGCATATTCGATCTATTTATGTTATAATTAGTTACCCACAGGTAGACTACAAACATGAAATATGATTGAAAATTAATGGAGTGTATGTATCTGTGAAGCCTAAGGATATCCACAGATAATTTAGTCTAAGTAATTCAGTACATCACTCATTAGCGTATTTAGAATATTATGACTTTAATGAATTTATGGTGACTACCCACAGGAGCGCCATAATTTCTTATTGTATTATTCAATTAATGTAATGTGTTGCTTATGTTTTAGAACTTCTTTAAAACTTGTTGTATCTCTAAATTGCAGCATTAATTCATGATGGCTTGTCATCCATGGTCTCAAATGTTCCGATCCTCAGTGGTACCAACTTCTCAGAATGGAAAGAGAAAGTTGAGTTCACATTAGGAGTACTGGACTTGGATTTGGCACTTCGTGAAGAGGAACCAAATCCAATAATGGAGGACAGTACTGAGGAAGAATGTATTTTCCATAAAGATTGGGAAAAATCGAACAGATTGAACATTATGTTTTTAAGGATGACAATTGCTAATAACATCAAATCTTCCCTCACGGTTGCTGAGAAAGCTAAAGCTTATCTCGCGGCCATTGAAGAGAGGTTTAAGACTGCAGACAAATTAGTATAGAAAAGATCAAAAGACTAAATTAGAGACACAAACATCCAAAGCTAATTATTAAATTTTACGGCTAAAAAGGCGGTGGGAATAATTCGCCAAAAAGTGCTCTCAGACAACGATTCGATGATCTAGATTCTACACACATCCATGACATTTATTTAAAGAGGCGAGAAATGAGAGATTTGATATTAATGTCA